AGCTGTTTTGTTCCTCAAGGGTTGCATCAGTGACTGTGGACCACAGACGGCAGACCGCGCCGGGGAGGGTCTGCGCTGGATCCGGGCCCCGCTGCTCTCGGCCGCGGCCCCTCTGCCGCAGCCAGCCAGCGGCTGGGCTCCGGTGGGGCTGTGACACACTCCAGCCTCTGGGCTTCTTTCTGGTTCTTCGCAACCACTTGTTCTTTCTTCGCGAGTAGACTCCCGGGGAGAAGGCAGGCCTTTGTTTTGTTTTGTTTTGTTTTGTTTTGTTTTTAATTAAGGAGTCCTTTCTTTTAAGGTTTCCTTTTCTTTATTAACTGTTTCTTCAGTTATTTCTCCTCTTGGCTGGTTTGGGGCTGTTTGGTGATGTTTGGTGAGGCAAGTACATAAAACAGTTTAGAAAGACTTCCAGCAAAAATAAGGAAAATGATTAAATGAAAGTATTTTTTGCTACCTTAAACTTCCTCCCCGACACTGTTGGATAAATGAGGCTTTTTATGTGTATAGACGAATCAGATGCAGAGATGTGGTTATGCCATATATACTGACAATAGCGCCTTCTTCAAAATAATGGGGTCTTTTTTTGTTTACTAACTTGATTGTTTAGTGCTTCCCATTAGTGCTAGGCGTTGTACAGGTGCTCGATGTTACTAGGTGCTTGTATTAAAATTCATTGATCCAGAATAATTGTGAGAAAAAAATCAACACGGATATATTTGAATGAAATAATATAATGAAGTCATTAAATTTTAAGAACATAATTTGAACATATTGCCAAGATGAAATCAGAAACAACAAACTACTGCTCAGCTTAAAAGTAACTCTGCCTTCTGAACTCTCAGAAGTTGGTAACGGGTGCATCTTTAGTCACAGTCGTCACCAGCACAGACTCCAAAGTAGGCTGGCATTTTGCTTGTTTTCCTAAGGGTTCTTAGTATCTTCATAAAACAGCACTGAGCTGATTCCTGAAACAGATTGGTTTCTTCGTGCTGCTGTGACTGAGACCCACAGCTGTCTGTCTGGAACCTGACGGTGACCCTGGATCCGGGTTGGGTGGATCTCGCCTTT